CCGGAAAAATATGAACGTAGATTAAGATGGTTTTCTGGTTTGATCGCATAGTCGACAAAATGAAACATTTTCAGCAAAACGTTCTATTCCACTCCTAAATGTTTTGCGGTCAAGGACATTGTGCGGCCAAGGGCCCCGTGCGTCAATCGTGAATCCGTGTCAAACACGCGGGAACTTTCGGCATTTCGAATTTTATCCCGGATTCCGCGGGCCGTGGTTCCAGTTTCCCGCTTTATGTAGTCTGGCTGTTGTTGTTCAATAGAAACTTCTCGATAAGTCATGGAATCAAACACTGTGTTTATTGACTGACTCGATCGTGGTCAAGCAGGCTTTAACGCGGACTGTGGTCACTCTTGGCGTTTACGCAATTTAGCGATTAATATCTCGCTCCTGCTACTACAGTTAGCGTACTTATGTTTGTATGGTCCGACCGTAGTTCTGCAGCCTGAAAATAATGTAGAACCATGACGGAAAATTTGAATTCACAAAGAAGGGCGAGAAGGCCTGAATTACAGCGTGTTGCTTGCGTCCATTTAACTCCCAGGTTGCGATCAGAGAAATTCGGAAATTTTCTTAAGTTCACTTAAAGGAAAGTCACTTGGATCATAGATGAACCATCCTGGGATGTAAGTCGAGACTGATTTCACTCGCGCTGACCATTGGAAATTCGGCACGTGATCATAACCTTGCTGAACACAATCAGTGTGCGATTCTGCGATGACTTTCTAGGTCTCACATCTGAAAGTGCTGGAGGGCGCTGTCCTGAGAAACACGATTTCAACCGCGCAACACCTACTCAGTGAGCATGGACTCAACAACAGCGAGAGTCACCTGTAGATGTCGCTGGTATTTGTTGTGACGTGTTTGATGGCAGACAATGCGGCTTTGTTCGTAGTCGCGATTCTCGTGCTTCCGAAATCAATATTAAGAACTGGGCACAGCGCGGTGAATCGTTAACACGAGTCAGCACACACAGACAGCAACAACGGTTTACGAAAAGGTACGTACTTCAAGCGGCTCAGCTTCCAGCAAGTCAATTGTCTTCAGATTTTCAACCGTGAATTGTAACCACATGTACCGTGGTTCGGCTAGTCGTCCTTACGGTTGGAAGGCAACAGTTTGGATACATGAGGGCCATCGAGGGCACGGCTGAGTGATGCCTGACAATGTCTCCAACCATTTACGTGACCCGACTTGGGGTCTCCATCCAGGAAGATAGTAGTGACCAATGCATCTGAGGTTTTTGGAAATGACTTCCTGTTACGGTTCTGTCACGCAGCGAGCAAACAATATGATAATGCGGATTGTGGTAATACTCTCTCCCCAGCTATGTTGCTTGATCCAGACTCCTAGCACGGCGAATAGTAAGAAGACGAAAACCTCGGACACAAACTTTAATAATCCAACAACACACGATCAACAGGCGATGCCCGGAGCTTCCGAACCCAAGTCAGTGGAAAGAATGGTATCCTGTACGTGGTCGGATTTAAATTTTCTTGGAGTATCAATAGGCCATTGATTTTTCATAGTTTGACCTTGAAGATGCCAGGAGTTCGCTAGCACACATAAAAACAGCGTTTTCTGGGGGATATTGATATCCCCAACACCTCCCCTTGTGAAAAGTCAGTAGCGTACTCGACGGGGGTCGACCTGGATACGCTCCGGCTGGCGGCGGCGTCGGTCTGTCCACCGCCTGGGAAGAAGTGTTGGATCAAATACTGAGCTGCCGGTCACACTCTCCTCTTTCGAAGCTGTCTCAGTTTTCAGCTCAAAAGTATCGAGCAATATGTCCAACGGTATGCTACCCGAACATACTTGAGTTTCCGGCGTGCTGTTAAAGCGGAGTTGGTTTTGATGTCTGGTCCAGGTGTCTTGACCAACCGACACGTCGTACATTACACTACCGCGTTTGCGCAGGATACGACCTGCAATCCATGAATCATGTCCTGGGCGATAGTCACGGACAAGCACGGGCGTTCCCACCTTGAATGGAGTTCCAACTGCCACCGGTATGGACCTTGACTCAGTAGGTTGTGTTGGCAACATGGAAGAATGCACAGTTCTAAGTTTACGGCCCATGAGTGCCTCTGCAGGTGACTGGTGGTTTGCCAAAGCGTCATTCGGGGTCGTTCGGTACACAAACAGGAATCTCTGAAGGGCTTCGACGGATGTCTCCTCCCCTCGAGCTTTAAGCAAAGCCCTCTTGAATGTGTCGACGAACCTTTCTGCTTGACCGTTCGATTGTGGGTGGTACGGTGGTGAACGAACGTGTGTTATCGCATGTCGAGTGCAGAAGTCGCGGAACTCAGCAGAGGTGAACTGCGAACCATTGTCTGAGACTATGGACTCCGGTAATCCATGCTGACTGAAAATGTTGGATAACACTCTCAGCGTACTAGATGTTGTTGGAGATGACACCGGAACGATTTCTGGCCACTTGGAAAAAGCGTCAATCAAAACCAAATAAAAAGTGCCATTTATCGGTCCTGCGTAATCAATGTGGATCCGAGACCAGGGCTTTTCAGGTCGAGGCCAGGGAACCGGTGGTTGGTGTGGCGGATTCTTTGAAGCTTGTTGACATCGGGAGCAGCGTTTTACAAAATCAGTGATGTGCTGGTCCATGTGCGGCCAGTATGCGTAACTGCGAGCTATTGACTTCATACGGTTGATTCCTGGATGTCCAGAATGGAACTGACGAAGAACTCGATGGCGTAAAGGTTGCGGAATCACCACGCGATCTCCAAACATTAAACAATCTTTTACGATCGCTAATGCATCTCGGCGATGAAAGAGCTGTCGAAGGGAATCATCTTTGAGATTCGAAGGCCACCGAGAATTCATGAATCGGATCACCTTTTGAAGCGTTCCATCAGCTGTGGTAGCTCTTTGAACCTCTGTTACTGTCACGGGCAGGGCACGAACGGACTGGACCAACTGTGGGTCGGCTGGGTCCTCAAATGCAACATGCGCAATAACCGTGTCTTCTTCGGGTGTTGGCTGGTTGTTGATCAGCCGAGATAATGCATCGGCCTGACCGAAGTCGGTGGTGCGTCGATATTGAATATCGAAGTCATAACCCAGCATAATCAGGGCCCATCTTTGCAGGCGGTTGGCAGAGTGTACGGGAACACCTTTCCTTGAGCCGAAAATGGAGAGCAATGGTTTATGATCGGTAAGTAGGGTGAAACGGCGGCCATACAACATTTTGTGGAAACGCCGAACCGCGAACACTAAGGCCAACGCTTCTTTCTCTATCTGTGCGTATCGCTGTTCTGCTGGGGTTAGTGATTTCGACGCATGCATAATGGCCCTCTCCGATCCGTCTGGAAAGACGTGTAGAATGACGGCACCGACACCAAAATTAGAGGCATCAGCTGCCACAACGATCGGCAGCTTTGGGTCGTAGTGGGTAAGTAGCAGATCAGAACTGAGCATCGTCTTTAGTTTGCAGAATGCTTCCTCGCATTCGTCTGACCAACACCAGGGGACATCCTTTCCAAGCAACCGATTTAGCGGGGGCCGGATGTCGTGCAACGAAGGCAGGAATGCCGAATAGTAGCTGATTAACCCCAAAAGGGAACGTAATGATGGTACATCCTTAGGAGGTGGCATCTGCTGTATAGCTCGAACGTTTTCCGGGTCAGGATAGCGACCAGAGGCGTCAAAAATGAACCCAAGATATTTCACAGTTGTCAAGAAGAATTGACACTTCTCGGGACGGAGGCGGAGGCCATTGTCCTGAATGCGCAGTAAGACGGCATTGATTCGCTCACGAAGCTCTTCGGGGGAAACAGCAACGATCAGCACGTCGTCCAGGTATGCGACCACACCTGGAATGCCAGAAAGGATGGTGTCCATCAATTGCTGGAAAATTGCTGGGGCGGTTTTGACGCCAAACGGAAGACGGTTGTACTGATACAGCCCGCGGTGTGTGTTGATTGTCAGTAGTGGGCGTGATTCTGGTGCGACTTCAACTTGAAGGTACGCTTCAGCCAGGTCGATTTTGGCGAAGAACTTCCCACCGTTCAGAACAGTGAATAGATCGTCGGGTACTGGTAGTGGATAATGGTGCTGCTGGATAGCTGCATTTAGGCCGGTTGAGAAATCGGCGCATATGCGGATGCCACCGTTAGGTTTCTTTACTACAACGATCGGCGCTGCCCAGGCAGAGTAGGATACAGGGGACAGAACGCCTTGTTCTTCCAACCGTTGAAGTTCGGCATCTACCAGTGGGAGGGAAGCGTACGGAACTGGTCTCTTTGGACGGAAGACTGGCGTAGCAGAGTGATAATGGTGCCACTATAAGGCGTTGTCATTGATTGCTTTACACGTTAATGGAATGAGTTTCCAGTGAATTACTCTCCTGGGTGCGAACAACTGGATAGTAGGGTTGAAGGCTTCTCGGTCCTTACGGTCCTTACGCCAACTCGACATTATCAAGTGTTGACCAGGAGTCTGTTCTCCCTTTGGCTTGTGAAGTCTCCTTATGCGGACGATGATGATGATGATGATGATGATGATGATGATGATGATGATGATGATGATGATGATGATGCTACGTTCATGAGGCGGTACGTGCCTCGCAATGGGCCCGGTTCCCTACCGCGAATCCACCACGAACTGCCTATACTACCACCAGAGGCCTATTAACTCATTCAACAGTTCTCATACAACTGTTTACATCGACGAACCGCAGTATAGGTGTAGGCTTTGTTGCTGAGGTTCCTTGGGAGCATTTCTGGGAGAATGTGACTTCGCTAGGCCGGATAAGTACCCACTTTTAACCTTAGTGATGCCCCGTTCAGATAGATAAATGGCGCCTAGAAGAATCAATTACTTGACCGCTGGGTTGGTGATGCTCCACAGGTGTACCTCCACAGATTCTGCTACATGCTTGGAGTACCAATATGCCAACTTCTTCGAAGAGCTTAACTTTATACCGTCCGTTAAACATTATGAACTTACATTTACCTCGACTGCACTTTTTGTATTTCAGCACCATGCGGTTACGATCACTTTTCAAAACATCCCTGTTTTTCTTTGGGCTGTGCTTCTTGGTGTATATTGTGCTATATATGCAAGCCGGACACAAAGAAACTGCACCAACAGACTTGATTAACCAGTTCAATGTTGTCCAGAAGAAAGGATATTCCGGACTTAAAATGGAATGGCTTCAGGACGTCAGCAAGAGGCCTGAGTCTACGTGAGTCGAAGTCTGGGGAAACAATCTGTCTTTAGGATTTTCCACCGTCATTATTGACTTGGGTCCTTTTAATTCGCTTCGCAGGTTTGAACACTCTGTCGGGCGATATCAGTACATATTCGCATGCCATGTACTATGTTAGTCAGTTTAGTGATTGACTAGCTAATGCAACGGTCTATACGGGAAAAAGTGGCGAGACTTGAAACATGGTTATTTCTGACCAGCTATTTGTACACTAAACTGCTCCGAGTCCTAGGACATACGGCGGGACGCGCAGACAGTGCGACATAGTCGTATGCACTTTCGTATGGCGAGCGTTATCACTACATTGTCCAGCTAAGTCTCCACATGCGATTTGGAAGCTTTTGGTTCTGAATATCGCGTGTCTCACCTGATACCGTTTGTAATAACGGTGTCACTTCAGAATAGAACACCTTGGGTGATATCGAAATACCGAGTTCGAAATAACTCAGTGGTTAGGGTGTGAACTTACTGACCAGGAGGTCGTTGGCTCGAACGCAACCTCAGCATCCCGACTGCTCCTGTCTGGGGGCTTGGGCAGCCCCGCCAGAACTTCATTGTTAATTGATTGAATGTCTGCTAGTTCATTCACATAGTGAGCCTGAATAATGGTAGTCAGCCATTATCATTTTGAACTAGTCGCCTATAGACTGGCTGAGTCATTTGGGGTGACTTCGAAGTTCCACTTCAAAGTACGAGATGGCTCAAGTGGTTAGAGCGCGAATTTACTGACCGGAAGGTCCGTGGTTCGAACCCGACCTCCGCCACTCGACTTCCCCTGTCTAGGCTTGGGCAACCTGACAGTATCCTAGCCCTCGTGCTTCCTTCGGGTGGCATGGCAGCTAGGCACCGAAAGGGCGCTACAGCTGAACGATTATTATTATTATTATTTACACTGTATTCTGACCGTGCATTTTTCACATCACATACCAGTGTGTGCTCCACAGTTCTTGGAAAGGCACTAGTGTTGTTGGTAGTACTAACATGAATATATTCACAGGCTTCATATTGGGAGAAACCAGCCTTGGGGCAATAAACACAAAGTTCGCCAAACTGAATGCTCATTTTGAAGGGCGGTAGGTTCACCATAGATATCAACCCTGTCGACTGCCTGCTTCCTAGGGAATGTTGAATGCATCAGTATAATAGTAATTATTCAGCTGTAACGCCCCCCATCTGTATTAGGAATAGAACGATGTACCTCGTCATCTCACCCTCCCTGACGTTTAACATGCAAAACGTCGGACACGGCTTCTCTTTTTTTTTACAGCTGTCACTATCACCCTCCCGTCCTTTTGCTTTTCCCCTAACCGTACAACCCACCATTTTGTTTCCAACCATCTGTATGAGGTTTTGACCCACGGTGTATGGCTGACTTGCTTGCCCACTCATTTTTTTCTCCAGAATAGCCCACCTCTACAACACCATACCACTGTATGTGTTCCCCAACTCTTACAGTCTCCCGCTTTTCAAAGACATCTGTTCAGTCTATCATGACATTTTTCTTCCCGTGTATTGTTCATATTACTATTTTCACGGTCGGTCTGACCGTGGGGTATTCTTCTGCTGCGATCCATCCTCTGTATGACGAGCTAATTGCAGAGAATGGATGTTTCTAAAAGTGGAGCATAAACTGTCAGTAGTGCTCGTTTGATCCTGATCCTAACACCTTTTCTTCTTGCTGCGTACGAGAGGAAGAAACAAAGAAAGAAAGAACCGGCTAAGATCACAGTGTGCCGATGACATGGTTATGGTGGTAACACTTCTTCCAAAAGATCGGTCATCAAAATGTCATATTGGCAACCGCTATATATGAAACTACTTTTGGACTAAACAAGACATTCCTTGACAAATCAAACAATGCTTTGCGCTCATTACCCTCCTTCGTTTGGATCCTTCAAAGATGCAAGCCATATTAAATAACCTAAATATTTCTGTTGCACAGTATGTGCTTCACACCTGAAAAGTGCAAGCTGGTGCACAAGACTGAGTGAGATCAAACCCAAACCCCGGTTGCGGTCGAGCCAATCGACGTGGTAGGTAAATTCGTTTACTTGGGTGGTTGTATAAGTTCCGGTGGACTGGTTGGAAACGAGATCACTTATCGAACTGAGGTCAGGGCAGCTTTCTCCCAACCTCGGACACCTATGGCGCCACGTGACGTCATTCTATCAAGGGCAGAGTCTACACTGTGGTACTACTTAGGTGTCGGTGTCTCCGATGCATTGGTCGGGTCTGATGGGAAGATCGGATTAGCCGTGCTTAGGTGCGCCAGATGGTTCTAGGAAAACTGACGTCACACGATGGATGAATTGCTCACGCTTCAAGGGTTATGCCGGTTTGGATATGTAATGTGCATGTCAGAGAGTTCTTTTCGCCAAGCTCTGTGCTGAGCGGAGACGGCCGAGAGGTGGACATTGCATGACGTGGCAACGAACTGTGAAAACAACTTCCAACAAGCTCCGTCGGGTTGATAACTGTTGCCTGTTTGGATGGGGACCCCGGGGATCAACTTAATAATTTCTAATGACAATGGTAGACATGACCCATTCACGCAGTCACCGACGGTCTCAACTCGATGCTATCGCCATCTATACATAGCTGGCCAGCATCGCGAACTAATTGGTTACGCCCTCATCTCCGATTCTCGGCTGTATGTCCCACGCTCTCCCACACCCTAATGATTGAAATCTTAGTAACTGCAACCAGCGTGCCCTTGGTTTATTGCTGGTAAAGTGAAATTGATCCGTGTTTATTCTGGAAACCTGTATGCCTCTGAGAAGAGCAGAAATCACGTGCTTTGATGCAGTGCGCATTTTCGTCTGCATTTCTGTTACTATTAGTAGTGATAGTATTGTAATGATAATGATTGTAGTAATAGTGTTGTTTTTACGCTGACTATGTTTACTTATCGCACAAAACAAATAGCGTTTAGCGTGTATGTTAGCTCAAGTGGTTGGAGCGCGAAGTTACTGACCAGAAGGTTCGTGGTTCGAACCCGATCTTGGCCTCGACTTCCCCTGTCTAGGCTTGGGCAACCTAACAGTATCTCAGCCCTCGTGCTTCCTTCGGCTGTTATGGCAGCTAGGTACTGAAAGGGCGCTACAGCTGAACGGTTTTTTAGGCATTTTTCTTTGGCACTTTATGAGTGAGGTCTCGTGAAACGGTGTTATGTGAAGTCGGTGTGGTCGGCAACCCAAGGTAGAAGTAAGTAGGATTACGATTGTCTACCTAATCCAGGACCGCAGCGTATGAAGTCTGGTAAATTAACCCTCCTAGACGAGCACCTCACTACTATCCAGGTCATCCACGTTCAGATGTGCGAGACCAACCCTGTAGGAGTATCTATCATCATCATCATTGTCAGCTGTAAGAACCTCGTGCTCGTCGTACAGTGGTTGTAGCTGCCGCAGTTTCGTTCACCGATGATTTGGGGGGGGG